TGAGTATAGTGGTGGTGGTAGTTGGTAGTGGTAGGCTTCGGCGGCAGCTAGTAATGAATGTGGATGATACCAAAATTAAGTCTTTGTTATGGTTCTTAATCGTACAATTCTATTCAGATCCAATAAGTGATTTTGAAATGGAAAACAAACAAACACACTTAATGATTAGGATATGAATGATTAAGATTCAGATCTCCATTAAAAGCAAATAAACGAGGCCTAAGCGTGCTTCTACATCAAGAAAAGAAATAAGTCAATGTACTGTTTCATCAATTTAGTTGTTACCATCCAATTTTTTGAAATTTCAGTTTGAAAAATAATTAACTTTTTCTTTTTGGTCGAAGAGAAACAATTGAGTTGATTCACAATGAACGAACAAATTTGATTTGGACACAATGCAAATGGTTGGTCTCATTCTCCTCTAGTTATTGTTAACAGTATTTTCGTACCGAGATTATACAAATTTTCTCAATCTAAGGAGTCTATTTTTTTTATAATAAAAGATTGGTAAAATACATAGTTTATCCATCCATCTTACACCTTATAGTAGGCTATATAGATGTTATTTACACTCTAAATGAATCATACTTTATTGTTGTTTTAAATGCAAAACGATAACAAAATACTCTAATTACTGTTCTTTTGCTTTGCAGGAACTAATCCAAATTAAGAAGAGACTAAGGAGTATTTTGGAGTCAAAAATATACTCCAAAAATATGGATATAAGGCCAATCAAGAAGAACCCAAACAAAAATAAACAAAAAAGAGGCAAAGGATGACTGGACAAGGGGCCACCATGACCGCGATCGACCACGACTGGAATGCAGTAGGCCAAACGAGTAAGGCGGAATGGATGCATTTCACCGCGGTCGGGCTGCGTTCTGCCACGGCCGCGGTCGACTGTATAATCGCCCAAAAATTTATGGACTAGAGTGTAAATCGGGGGAAACCTATCCTAACCTTTTATGAACTCAACAAACTCGCCCAAGCAAAGGTTAAGCTTGTTTTTTAGATTGAATTGGAGGCAAGAACAAGTGTGAGGAGATCAAGAAACCATTATAGTTTTTCAATCTTCTTCTTGTTATCTTTATTTACACATTATGAATACTTTTGTGATTTTATCTTGTTTTGCTATGAGTAGCTAATTATTTAGTCTAGGGTTTTGATGGAACCTGTTGAGGATGAACTTTTTGTTATGTTAATATAGTTTGCCCTATTTAATCTCTATTTGTTCAACTACATTCTTGTTGTAGTTAATTGATAGGATCCTCAATTAGCTGTATCTATTTAGTATGTATTACTCGGGAGAGAGTGCATATTTAGGTAGTTGTTGAACAACACCACTCCCAAAGTATATGAGGAATCAATAACCGAGGGTTTAGAGGCGTGATTAGGGATAACGAAACCTTGGATGTGATCTAAAGTGAGCTGTAATAAAAACCAGCTAGCGTTACTCGGGAGAGTGCGTCTAGTAAATTATCGTAATTACTCAGGAGAGATTTATAGTAGTAACAGTGCTCATGATCGATAGAGACGATTAGGCAAGTCTGTGCGAAATATAACAGGTCGGGATTCCATCAATAGAAGAAATCATAACCTTATATCCTTCTCTTATTTGTTTACAACTCAGTCATAGTTAGCTGTTAGTTTACTTAACTTTATTCAATTATAGCTAGTAAAAATATTACCAATTGTTATTCAAAATATCTGGAAAATTGATTACGAAGAATTTAGTGAGTCTAACAAGAGTAATTAGTAGGTTAATTCCCTGTGGATTCGACTCTGGGCTAAATACCCTGATTATATTTGCAACAACCGCTTGTCCTTTTTATAAGGCATAGTTGGACGTGATCAAATTTTGGCACCGTTGCCGGGAAATTAACGGTGTTAACAATTACAGTTGAAAGAAATACAAAAATTCTTAGTGTAGTCAGTTTTCTTTATTTTCAATCTATACATTGAAATTTTAACGTTTGTTAACTTGGTTGTACATGTGCATGCCTAGAAACTCATCGAGAACTGGTGAAGTATTTGAAGCATTATCAGATCACGAAAAGGTTTTCAAGGCCTTGAATCTAGATAACCGAAAAAATAAACAACAACCATCAACTGAACAACTTGAACCATACATGGGGGATCACGAGGTAGACCCGCCCATACCAGCAATGGCACCTCTTGTGGGGCAGAGGCTGTTTTATATGACTGGGCGCAACCCACAACAGAGAATTTGGCTACAACGATATTAGTCCTGCAGATACAGGACGAATCTTTTCAAATTACAAACAACATGCTGCATTTGTTGAAAAACAAGGGACTATTTTTGGGGTCATACATTGAAGATCCTTAACAACACTTGAAGAATTTCCTATCAATCTGCAAAACTCAAAGGCAGCCCAACGTAACTCAAGAAGCAATAAAGTTGTTGTTGTTCCCATTCTCAGTGATAGGAGCTTCTCAGACTTGGCTAAATTCACTTCTCATTAATTCCATCACGACTTGGGAGGAGTTAGTCAAGCAATTTGTGAATAAGTTTCACCCACCCAACAAGACTACTCAGCAAATTGATGAAATTTTGAGCTTTAAATAGAAATCAATGGAAACACTACAAGAATCATGGGAATGATTCAAAGGGATGTTGGTTATATGTCCGCACCACGGTATTCCAGATCAGATGTTGGGGCAGTGGTCTTTCATGGGTCTGACAGATAGCGTGAAGGATAATGTTGATGCTTTAGCTGGTGGAGCATTCTTGAGTAAACCATGTAGAGAAAGCTAGAGCCTGCTTGGCAAGATGGCACAGAATTCGGGGTGGACACCCAGGAATGCACCTATCACTCCAGTAGTTCACTTAGTGCCCTCAGATCCATCCAACACTCTTGCTGAAAATATGGCCACCTTAATGACACAAATGAGTATATTCGCCAAAAAGATGGAAGAGTCAGGGCAGAACCAGCAGGTGCACATTATAGATACAACTAATAGGGGCTTATGCATATCTTGCATTAGTCAGCCAATTAATAGCCAATGGAATGCTGAAAATGACCGTCATCATTACCCAGGGGACATGAATTATGTGTCTAATTATGGGGGCTAGAGACAAGGTGGTCAGAATTGAGGCCAATAGAATCAGTCATACAGGCCAGTCCAGCTACAACACAACAATGGAAATATGGGAGCAATGTGACCTCACAATAATGTGGTGCCCTACCAAAGGCTACAGGGATACAACAATCAAAATCAATAGTAGAGTTATCATCCTTCTCAGCAGCAACATGGTGGGAGACAGGAAGATGGGTTTGCTAGACTCAAGGCAATGATGCAATAGGTTATTGGGTCGAATGCGAAAATGAGTGAAAGAGTAGATGCACATAAGTCAGCTATAAAGAATATTGAAGTGCAAATGGGCCAGATTTCGATATATTTGAATAATTGTCCTCATGGGACATTGCCTGCAGACACTTAGGTAAATCCAAAAGATCAAGGCCCGAAGCAGCTGATGGCAGTGAGTTTACGTAATGGCAAAGACTTAGACTTGGAGCAAGAAAGGGCTCGAGAAAGTAGACAGGCTGAGACACTTGTACCAGTGCCCATTGAGCTAGATGATTCAACGAAACTGACAGAGGTGACAGTACAGCCTGCCCAGGAAGAACCAACACACAGATTGAGGCTGAGAAAGAAGATGAGACAGCCCAAGAACCGGTAGTTGAGGTGGTGTATGACAAAGAGAAAACCTAAATCAGTGGGAAGAAGAGACCTCCAGCACCATTCCCATAGAGGCTGGCCAAATACCAGAAAGAGGAACAATACAAGAAATTCTTGGAGATGCTAAAATAAATCCAGGTAAATATTTCATTGATTGTGCTTTGAAGGAGATGCCTGGTTATGCTAAAATGATGAAGGACTTGATGTCCTGAAAATTCGACTTCCAAGATTTGGCCACAGTGACTCTAACTCAGACCTGCAGTGTTGTGGTGACTAGACCAGTTGCTGAGAAGTTGTCTGATCTAGGGAGTTTCACAATTCCCTACACCATTGGTAACTTTGCCTTTGCCAAGGCACTTTGTGATTTGGGGGCTAGCATAAATCTTATACCCCTGGCGATCTATAAGAGGTTGAGGTTTGGAAGAGCTAGACTCACGTCTATGTTGTTGCAGCTGGCTGACATAACTGTAAAAAGACCCTCTAGTATTTTGGATGATGTGTTGATACAGGTAGGGAAATTTGTGTTCCCTGCAGATTTTGTGATTCTAGATTGTAAGGTAGATAAAGAAATTCCCATAATTTTGGGAAGATCGTTCTTGGCCACAGGGAGAGCTCTCATTGATTGTGAAATTGGGGAGCTCAAGATAAGGTTGAATGATGAGGAGATAACATTCAACGTGCAGAAATCTATGAGGCAACCAAGTGAATTCGCCAATTGTTCTCTTATTGATGTCGTAGATGTAATCGTGGAAGAGGATGATAAGACATTGACTATTGAATATCCTCTTGCTGCATGTCTTGTGAATTTAGATGAGGTGTGCGGGGAAGAATTAGCAGAATGGGTGTTGGCTCTAGAGGGTAGAGGGTTTTGGGAGAGAACACTTGAATTCGAGCCCCTGTACTTAGAAAACAGAGAAACTCCTCTAGCCAAGACATCCATAGAAGAACCACCAAAGCTGGAGTTGAAGCCACTGTCCGCCCATCTCAGATATGTGTTCCTAGGACCTAACTCCACATTACCTGTTATTATCTCATCTAGTTTGTTAGATGTGCAGGCACAACAGCTGTTGCAGGTTCAAGGAGTGCAAGACTGCCATTGGTGGACCATGGTAGACATTAAGGGGATCAATCCGGCATATTGTATGCATAAACTTTTGCTGGAAGAGGGGCATAAACCTTCCAAGGAGCATCAAAGAAGGCTGAACCCCAACATGAAGGAAGTGGTGAAGAAAGAGGTGATTAAGTGGTTGGATGCAGAAATCATTTTCCCCATATCTGACAACAACTAGGTTAGCCCGATGCAATATGTTCCTAAGAAGGGTGGTATGACAGTGGTCAAAAATGATAACAATGAGTTAATCTCTACAGGAACCGTCACAGGCTGGAGAATTTGTATGGACTACAGGAAATTAAATTTGGTCGCCCGAAAACATTTCCCACTTCCCTTCATTGATCAGATGCTTGACAGACTGGCAGAGAGGTCCCACTTTTGTTTTCTGGATGAGTACTCAGGGTACAACCAAATCTCTATTGCACCAGAGGATAGAGAGAAAACCTCATTCACATATCCATATGGAATTTATGCTTTTCGGAGAATGCCCTTTGGACTATGCAATGCACCATCCACATTCCAAAGGTGCATGATGGCCATATTCACTGACATGGTCGAAGACATAATGGAGGTGTTCATGGATTATATCTTAGTGGTTGAAAACTCATTCGATAAGTGCCTTACAAATCTGACCCAAGTGTTAAAAAGATGCATAAAGACTAACCTTGTACTTAATTGGGAAAAGTGCCATTTCATAGTACAAAAGGGTATAATCTTGGGACACAGGGTATCAAGCTAGGGAATCGAGGTGGATCGTGCTAAAGTGGATGTGATAGCAAAGTTGCCACCCCCCACATCAGTCAAGGCAATCAGGAGCTTCCTCGGGCATGCCGGTTTCTACCGTAGATTCATAAAAGACTTCTCAAAAATTTCCAACCCTCTCTGTAAGTTGTTAGAAAAATATCACCCTTTCATGTTTTCTGATGATTGTAGGGTAGCATTTGAGGAGTTGAAAAAGTGGCTAGTCACAACACCTATCATTGTTTCCCCCAACTGGGAGCAACCGTTAGAACTCATGGGTAACGCTAGTGACTATGCAGTAGGGGCAGTGATCGAATAGCGGAAAGACAAGCTAATGCACCCAATTTACTACACCAATGGAGCATTGAGTGGAGCCCAACTGAACTATACTATGACTAAAAAGGAGATGCTGGCTGTGGTGTTCGCATTCAAGAAGTTCAAATCATACCTGATTGGCTCTAAGGTAATTGTATATACTGATCATGCTGCTCTCAGATACTTGATTGAAAAGAAGGAGTCCAAACCGCGCTTGATTCGTTGGGTACTGTTACTGCAAGAGTTCGACCTGGAGATTCGTGACCGTAAGGGCACAAAAAACCAAGTTGCTGATCATCTATCGTGACTTGAAGGAGCTGAAAACTCAGTTGAGGTAAAGGATATTTTGGAAACCTTTCCGGACGAGCAACTCCTCGCCATAAGCCTTGAGGAAGTGCCATGGTATGCAGACTTTGCAAATTACCTAGAGAGCGGTATAGTTCCTTATGACCTTTCCTCTGTGCAAAAGAAAAAGTTTTATCGTGATTGTCGCATGTATTACTAGGATGAACCTTATCTATTTAGAATATGTGTTGACAATATGATCCGGAGGTGTGTCCTCGAGATAAAACAATCTTCTATTTTGCATGCATGTCACGCATCGGCATATGGCAGATATTTTGGAGAAGTTAGGACGGCAGCAAAATTGCTAAAAGTCGGGTTCTACTGGCCAACAGTGTTTAAGGATGCACATCAATGGGTGAAGGGATGTAATGAATGTCAGCGAACCGGGAACATTTTCCGTTGCCATGAGATGCCCATGAACCCAATTCAAGAGGTTGAAGTGTTCGATGTATGGGGGATAGACTTCATAGGCCCCTTCGTCAGCTTCTTTGGCAATAAATACATACTTGTTGTGGATTACGTGTCCAAATGGGTGGAAGCTGTAGCAGTCCCCACCAATCATGCAAGAGTGGTGGTGGGATTTTTGAAGAAGAATATATTCACCCATTTCGGGACCCTGAGAGCTATTATCAGTGACGGAGGCACTCACTTCTGCAATCGAGCCTTCGAGAAATTGCTAACAAAGCACAATGTGCGCCACAATGTGGCAACACCATATCATCCCCAGACCAGTGGACATGTCGAAGTGTCAAATAGAGAGATAAAGAGTGTGTTGACCAAGACTGTGAATGCCACAAGAACTTATTGGGCAAAAAATCTAGATGATGCACTCTGGGCCTATAGAACTGCTTTCAAAACAACAATTGATATGTCACCATACAAGTTGGTGTTCGGGAAGGCATGTCACTTGCCAGTGGAACTAGAACATAGAGCTTGGTGGGCAATGAAATAGCTAAATCTAGACATTGAAGCTGCGGGAACAAATAGAGTCATAGAATTGCATGAGCTAGACGAGTTCCAATTTCTTGTTTTTTAGAGCACGAGGTTGTACAAGGAAAGAATAAAGAGGTTGCATGACAAGAACATTGTTGAGCGAAATTTCAATCCCGGAGACAAGATGTTGCTTTATAACTCAAGAATAAGGCTATTTCCGGGTAAACTCAAGTCATGATGGTCTGGACCATTTTGAGTGGTTGAAGTGTTCCCTTCAGGTGCCGTGAAGATTGCCTCAGAGAAAGACTCTCATACATTTAGAGTCAATGGGCAAAGATTGAAACTATATGTGGGCATGGATGAATCCAAGGAAGTGTCAGTGATCCATTTGACTGAACCTCAGAGGTCGAACGAGACTTAAATGCGGTCATCTTAGTCGTACCGCGATGTTAAATCAGGCGTTACATGGGAGGCAACCCATGATTTCTTTTGTTTCTTCTCTTTTATTTGATGTTGTACCAAACGTGCATGAAACTAACCTTCTTATAAAAAAATAAAAAAAGCTCGTGACCGCGACCGCGGTAAATGACGAGTATTCTATTTTAGGATTGCTCGATCCATCCCGACCGCGGTGGGACCATAGTGAAACACAGACATTCTGTTCACCCCCCTCACTCACCGCGACCGCGGTCGATCGCGGCGATTCGCGACAGGTCTGTCGCCCAGGTAAATTGCGTTAAAAAAATTATTTTTTTCTTTTCTTTTTTTCCTCTTAATCACTAAAACCCACCCTCCCCACCCTCACTCTCCCCGTTCTTCTCTCACTCTTCCAAACCTAACCCAACATCTCTCTCTCTTTCTTCTTCTTCTTCTTCTTCTTCTTCTTCTTCTTCTTCTTCTCTCCAAGACCTAACCCATTCTTCTTACACATACACACACACACTTCTACAAGACTCCATCTTCCATCAATCTCAATTTCTACCAACCCAGGTATGTCAATCTTCTCCTCTCCCTTCGTATGATTCTCTATTTTGCATTTTTCATGTTTAAAGTGTGTCGTATTTATAATTAGATTTTGATTTTGATTTTTTTTCTGCTTTTTAGTGGGTTATGTGCACAATTTTGTAGAGAAGAGTGTGGTTTTATTGTATTAAATTAATTGTGGTGAGGTGGAATCGTAAGTGAGAATGGTTGATTTGGGGGGATGAGTTTATGCTTTCATAGGGCTAGGTGTGTTAGATTAGAGACCATAGTCACAAGGTGTTTGTGAAATTGCCCCAATGAAGTTGTCATGGCTAATGTGACCATGGTGGTGGTGAAGTCTAAGTAACCACCCAGGGTTCACACAACTCAAACCCTCACTAATAGGAGCCTCTGTTTTTGGCAGGTACAATGCATCAATCCAGGAAGAGACGTACCACAAGGTCCTCCGCTAGTGGACTGGGTAGTTCTTCTAGAGCTTGGGGTCAAGCTTGTACGGAACAGTTTGACCACGCTAGATTTGTCTCCGAGGGCCTAGATTTGATGCCACGACATGGCTTGATATTGTGCTTGGGCCGTAAGGGGCCCTTCTCGGAGTCTGTACACCCTTAGTGAGCGCGGGTACCCATTGTGATATGAGAGATAGCCTGAGGGGCTAATATTATTCTATGTGATAGCCCGAGGGGCTGGTATTGTTCTATGTGATTGCCCGAGGGGCTGGTACCATTTTATGTGATTGCCCGAGGGGCTGGTATTGTTTTGAGATATTGCCCGAGGGGCAGGGTTGTTGACATTGTGTCCGAGGGATGAACCTTTATTTGTTTATCTTTCATATTTACTTGTCATTTTACCTGTTAAACTATGGTCTTTGTGCCTGAGGGGTGAATTTCTGTGCTTCTCTGCACTAACTATTTTGCATTTATTTGCGTAACCATTGAAAAAGCCATTTTCAAAGAAGTTTAAACTGAGCTAAGATATTTTAAGAGTTTTTTTACAACTTCACTACTTTCTTACTAGTTTTGAATTGCTTCTATACAACATCTTGGTATGCTTTATGTGATTTCTTGCCTTCAGTCTTTATTTATATTTGTTACTCACTGAGTTGTAGTACTCACTTTACTCTCTGCACCTTTTGTGCAGATTCAGGTATTTATACACCCGATAGCGGGTTTTGGCTGATCGGAGGCAGAGTCATTAGAGTTTAGCAAGGTAGCTGTCAGCGTTCGCAGCACTGCTTTTCTCTCTTTTCATTTCAATAGACTGCATTTGTACACTCCAGGCTTTCAGTAGTATTTATGCCCTAGTAGATGCTCGTGACTTGTGACACCTCGGTTAAGGCTGTGTTGGGTTGTATACCCGCTACTCATTATCAATAATTCATGATTAGACTGCTTTTGTATTTGTTTAACTGTTTTAAAAAGTGGATGGGGTTTATTGGTTGGCCTTGTCTTCATGAGATGCGCCATCACGACCGGGTTCGGGGTTAGGGTCATGACAAGTTGGTATCAGAGCCTAGGTTACATAGGCCTCATGAGTCATGAGCAGGTTTAGTAGAGTCTCGCGGATCGGTATGGAGACGTCTGTATTTATCCTCGTGAGGCTGCAGAACCTTTAGGAAAAACTTCATATTCTTGAATTCTTATCGTGTGTCTTTGATTCAGCTTGAAAAGTAAACTTTTGAAACTCCTTCCACACGTTTGTATGCGCGCATGAGCGCTTAGTATCAGATGCATCAATGGCTTGTGATTCCCCGATCGAGGGGCAAGACGTGATATCTGTGAGTTGATGTTGGGCCAGTCTGGAGGACTTGAGGTCGGGTTTTGCCTATAGCTTGAGCACCGAGGTGCTGATTGTGTGAGCATGTGTTTTCGAACTTGTATGTTCGGTAGTGTCCCTATTAAGGGAAGTGATGACTGGTTGACTACGTGATGAGTGTGATGTGATTGCGAGATGTGTCCATATGATTCGAATGAGACGAGAAGGGTCTGCTTGAGGATAGAAGAACTATTTAGTGCTTGATTTTCATCTTGATTTAATGTGTAGCCCCGAGTGTGGGTATGTTGAATGATCTTTTCCTGTCATCTAGTTGGGAAGTGAAGTAGATTTCATGTCGTGATATGGGTTCAGACCCAGGAAAATTAAGTGATTGTGTAATAGTTATGATTATGAAAGAGTATAGAGAGATACCAATTTGAGGCGAAACAAGTGGGTTATCTCCTGCAGATTATTTTGAAGTTTGTGTGATCCTTATGTTGTTTATTGGGAGATCTCTGTTACTAGTGAAATATATGCATTACAATTGAGTTTGAGTTACTTAAGATAGCGGGCATGTCTGTTACGAGGATAAATGCGAGATTTGCAGAAGATTTAAAGTACTAGATGGGTGTGTTGTATAAGCCTATGAAAGGATTTAGTTGAATATCCCTATGGTATTATAACAGTAATAGAGTATATGCATTATGAGTTATGTTGTGTTTTGATCTATGGCTTTGAGCCAAGTGGGGAAGTCTGGTATTGATTAAGTGATTGCACGGTTATGTGCTATGTTGGTTCCAGTTTGAGACATTCGGGTGAATCAGTTATGGCCTATAGAGGTTGAGACCGAGGATGGCTCGGGTAAAGGAAAATTTTGACAAAGGTTATATTACGCTTCATAGGTGTGTGAGAATCACAGGATGTCTTGAGTTATTGTTGGCAACAATGCTCGGTGCATATAGTAGGAAGTTGCTTGGTTGTATTGGGATG